CCCCAAAACCCCAAAACCCCGAAATTTAATATTGTCAGTAAATATTGAAATTTCTATTATAATTAAAGGTTTACTAATAATTTTTCAAAACATTCTAAATTATAATGATTTGGATTTTCTGTTTTTATTTCCATTTTGTAAAAAACCCAAATAATTATCCTTAAAATCCTGATAATCTTTTACTAAAATACCAAACCTTCTCTTATATTTGTTTTTGGTAACTTTACTATAAAATCTATACTATCCCATTACCTATTGAAATTGCTTTTTATTCCTTATTCTCAATCTATCCTCTTCTTATTCCTCGCATAAGGAAGCTATCTTATTCAGGATCTCTTGCTCTTTATTTTCCTTGAGAATACCTATTTCAAGTTACTTTTTACTCTTCATGAATAACTATTGATATCTACTAAAAACTCGTTCATCGACATTAAGTTTATTTTCTTTTATGCATTCTGGCATCTTAGCCACATAATCCTTGACAATTGATTAATCAACTATCTTTTCATGATGAATTGGTCTTAACAGAGCTGGCACTTAGACAGTTCCTCTACGTCTAATAGAAAGAAGGGCACTTCCCTTTTAGATTGTTAAAATAGACTTTTTACCATTAAGATTTTTGCTATCTGGAGGCGGATCAGATTTTCTCATAGGGAAAGTTAATCCTCTCTATGAATTACTTCTTGTCTATTTTCTTTAATAGTAGCTTTTGTTTTGATTGTTTTATTCATTATATATTTGCATGGCTTTATCTTCAATATACTAAGCAAATTTACTATTAAAAGATAGTTGCTTCTATTCCTAATGAAAATCTGTGATGAAACTTTATAGATCTTGATAGTTAAGGTAAATAGGATCTTTATGTTATGAAGTGAAATAAGATCTTTGGGCATCATTTGAATTGTAGCCTAATGCTTTTGACTTATCAATATGCTCCCATTTTTCAAGTTGTTAGTGCTAAGTTTTATTCAGGAATTTATGAAAATCTAAAGAATTTAACTATATCACATGCTACTCAGCTTCAGATAAGCTAGTCATTTTTCTCTTTCTTCTTTCCTTGAAATCTTCTACCAAAAATTCTACTTTTGGAATAAAGTCTAAGCTAATCAGTTTAGGGTCAGGCACTATACATACTTAATTTCTTTCGAGACATTTCTATAATTATTGTTATTATTTTAGAAATTTCTGCCTTTTGATATTTTCCTAATTCTAACTTGGATCTAAATCTAGCATATCTATGCTATCAATTTCTAAAGATTAGCCATCATCGTCTGAAAATTGGAAGTCATCATCATCATTTTTAATTTTTATGTTATTTGTCTAATCTAATGAATCTTATTTTTGAGTCTTGGATATTTAAGTATTTAGGTTTTAGCTAATTCAAGAGTCTGTTGTTTTATTCATTCTACATTTTTTATAATCTGTTACTGAAACTCTATTAAATGAATCAAGTTTAGAATGAGAAGTGCCTCTTTGATTTGAACTAGAAGTCATTAGGTTTTAAATCATACTTTCATAGTTTAAGCGAATGCTTCGAATCCTATCCACCTCTTATGTTCTCTATTTATTAATAAAAGTGGCTTTATTGACATTTTTTTCTTGATCCATTAGAAAAATTTAAGTCATATTGTTCATTCTACTTTCTTCTATGTTTGTACTTGGAATGTTTAAACTTTGGTTATATGTAGTACTTGAATTATTTTTTATATTATTTCTCTTACTCATGAAATTTGATCTCAATTTTATCGTTGAAATTTATTTATTTGGGCTATTTGATTTTTGATTTTGCAAAATAGGAGCTTTACTTATACCACTTAGCTATGAAAGAGTTACTTAAGGGTACTTTGAAATCATTTTACTAGTTATGATCTCATTAAAAACCAAATTTTCGTCCTTTTTACTTTTGTAGTCTATAGATTTGTATATATTTTTATCTCGATTTCCGTTTACAGTCGGAGCTGTTTAAACATGTTATCTCATTAATTGATGATTTCCTTAAATAAAATAAATATACTAATTTTATTAATTCATATGTTGTAAATATATCTTAAGCAGTTTATTAGAAATTTGATGGGGTTTTGGGGTTTTGGGGTTTTGGGGTTTTGGGGTTTTGGGG